ATTAGTATTTATTTATTTGTAATTATATGATATGTTAAGTTTTAATTTAACTTTTAGATGACGTTTCAACATCTATGTGTATAGTAATTTTTAATAAGGTTGTTGAATCTAATAAGTATCCTCTAAAGATTTCTTTGATCAGAATTCCTCAAGAAATACCAAGTGAAGTTAAGGATTATATTATTGTCAAGATATTAGTTACTGATTATGTTGATCAAGAGTATAGTTTTCTATAAATGGTATTTTTCCAGGTAATAATTCACGTTTTATATATTTAAAAGATACTATACATTTTCAAGAATCATTGGTTTTTGTGATTGGGCAAATGGAGATTATTGATAATAAGTTTTATATATATACTAAAGATATTAATTATGCTGATACTTATCTTATTACAAAAAAGAAGAGTTTTGAAAGTTTTTCATCTCAGGGTTTTTTAGTATCTCAAAATAAAATTCAGTCAAACTTATGATTACTATCAAAATATTGCTGAAAATTCAAAAGACAAATTAGAACATGATACTTTACCTTCAATTAGTTCAAATAATTTCATGAATAGATCCAAATTTCTTTCATTGAAACATATATGGGATAATAATTTTGATAGATCTATTAAAGGATTAGTTAATGTTGAAATTATAGATCGTGAATTTCAAGTTGTTGAAAGTAATGTTTAGCTAGTTTTAATAATAAAGATAAGATGGGTAAATCAGTAAAAAAGAAGAAAGTTTCAAGTAAAAAGGACAAGAAATATACAGTTCAATCTTTATGTAATGCATTAAGATCACATGGTGAAAATATAAATAGTATCAAAGAAAAATAACTGTTTTTTTTTATTTTATTTTTTGTTATATCTTTATTTGTTATATCATTTTATTTAAACATAAAATAAAATGAAATTTGTATTGTTTACGTTATATTATTTTAAATAAAATTATATTATTTTATTTTAAATATAATTATATTATTTTATTTTAAATATAATAAAATTATTTTAAATACCAATGTATAAAAAATTTGTATTGTTAATTAATTGATTTAAAATATAAATTTGACATTTTTGATAAAGTTTTAATTATTCAAGATTTCTTTATACACTACATTTCGTGTATAAACATCTTGTTTATTATGAATATTACTATTTTTTACTGATACTTTAATATTTCGGTATGATTGATACTGGTCAAAATTGATAAATAATACACATATCAGGTACCTAATATGTGTATTATTTATTAATTTTTGACCAGTATAAGCTCATAAGAATATAACATAAAGCTGATCATGTGTAAATATATGTTCAGGTAAATAGAGACCTATATTAAAAATAGTTTGACCTTGTGATTTGTTAATTGTCAAGGTAAAAGCAAGTCTAACTGGAAATTATTTTCTTTTTAATATAAATAAAAGTTTGATATTTTTTGAAAAAATGAAGGATATTCAAAGAAAGAATATTCATTTTTCTTTTTGGTTACCTGTGGTTATTTCTGCTTCAATAATATTTTTGTTAAATATTTTACATATTAAACTAGTGCTATTGTACAAACCGTTAAGCAAATCTAAGTTATAAAAGTATATAATAGGTGTATTAACCTTAAGACATAATTCGTAAGAAGAATTATCAGACATATTTATAGAGTTGAGGAATTCTTGTTAATGAAAATTATATTTGTCATCAGAAACAAAGTTAAAACTTCAGTAATTTTCAGTATTGCTTGGTAATTGATTTAATAATGTATTGTTGATATGGTTAACATATTCATTTTTTATAATAAGTATAACTCTATTGATAAAGTAGAAGATATCTGATAAATAGAGTGGAAGGTTTAAATATACTTCTTCAATTAAAATTTGTAAAGATTTTTTATCATGCTAGTTAATTATCATGTGTCTGGAATTCTAATCATATTATCATTTATTGTTGATTCAATTCCATTTCCAATTCTTAATAAGAAATTTTTAAAATTATTGACTTCAGGATCATTCTCAATTTACATATTTTGATGTAAGTAATAGATTTCTATTGTATACTATAAAGAAGAAAATTTTAATGTAGTATTTACAATTTATATGTGGTTTTCTTGTGGAATTACTGATAAAATTTGACAAAAATCTTTACTGAATATAAAAATTTTTCTACAAAAAGATGATCACATTTTATCAAGTCTTTTAAAGTTCAATTCAGAGCTTCTACGGAGTAATGGTTTACTATTGAAATCTTATTCCAGATAATTAATTTAACTAATTTTAGTAGTTTTGCCAGATGGCTTTGTTTACTAATTAAGCAAGTTGAATTTGAACTAATATCTAAAAGAATTTTAAATCTAGAGTATACAGTTTGTTCACCAGGCATAAGTAGTGTTGCGATTTCAGATGAGACTGTTGCGATTGCTATTGAAAGAATTAAATAGACTTTAGTGAGTAGACAAAGATATAAGAAAGTTTTTCATGAACCTGTAAATAAAAAATTAGATATATTGTAATGTTATTATATATAAATTTTGAATTTGTTTAAAATAAAACATAACTGATTTATTTAAATAAAATATAAACAACTTATTTAAAATTAAATACCTAAAACGAAATAAAATATTTAAATAAAATATATATACAATTAAATAAAAATAAAAATATAAATAAAATATATAAATTAAATAAAATCTAAAACTAAAATAAAATATTCAAATCAAATATAAATTAAATAAAATAAAATATAAA